ACACACACACACACACACACACACACACACACACACACACACGGCACACGGCACCCCGGAGCGCAGTCTTGCAAGTCACACAACACAGGTTCCAGACTGTGCCCCTAAGCAGTAGCGAGCAGTTTCCTGGCACGCGGGGCACGTGGGCGCTGGGCAACGCTGGGGACCCTCTGCCAGGCTCCCACGCCCCCACTTCCATCCAAGCAGCCACAGACTGCGCCCTCTGCCGCGTTAGAAACTTTTATAGCGGTGCGCCACCGTCGGGCGGTTCACAGCGACGGGCAGAGGGGCGAGGGCGGCTGCGGCGCCCAGGACCGAGGCAGGAGCGGCTGAGTTTCCCAGCTGCAGGGCGTCCGAGCCGGCCTGGGCCGGAAGGAGGCGGCCGGGCCGCGGGCACGAGGCCACGCGGGGTCGCCGTCGCGGTCGTCGCCGGTGATCCACAGCGTGAGCACAGTGATGAGCGCCCCGGTGCACAGCGCGCCCAGGAAGCCGGCGAGGAGGCCGAGCGCCAGCGGCTCGGCCCAGGCCGAGGGGCTGCGCGTGTACGGGGGCTGCGGCAGGCGCTCCACGATCAGCTCCAGCTGGTCCCAGGCCGGTTCGGGGACGGCGGCGCGGCGGGCGCGCGGAGCTGGGGCAGGGACCGCGGCGGGACCGACGCCGGGGTTGGGGGCGGGGCCAGGGGCGGGGTCAGGGGCGGGGACCGGCACCGGGACCGGCACCGGGGCTGGAGCCCTGAGTTGCTGCAGGTAGCTTGCGCCGGTCCTCCGCAGCCGCAACGTGGCCTGCTGGTGGAGGTTCTTGGCCAGCTCCCGCGCCACATCGGGGCGGCCGCAGCGCCGTAGGGCTCGGGCCACGCGGTCCCACGGCAGGGTCGGGGCTTGGGCGGCCAACCAGGTCGCCAGCGCCTCTCGGCAGCCGTCGGAAACCTCCGCGGACTCGGACGCGCCCTTCCTCCCCTCCGAAAGCTGCGGGGCTGCGGCCCGCCGCCGTTGTCCCACTGAGTCCTGCGCCCTGAACGAGGGTGTGGGTGGCTCGGGCGTCGCCAGCCGGTCCTCAGATAGCCGGGCCAGCTCCACGGCGGCCCGCCGCCGTTGTCCTACCGATTCCTGCGCCCCGAGCGAGAGTATGGATTCCTCCGGCTTCACCAGCTTGTCCTCAGATAGCCGGTCCAGCTCCTTGTCCACGTCGGGCTCGGGCACCTCGAGGAGTGTTCGAAAGAGGCTGCACTCCTCGGGGGTCAGAAGTTCCGACAGGCGGACTGCTGCGTGGGGGCCCATGGCGTCCAGCGCGCTCGTGGGGGCCAGCACCCCGTTGCAGAGAGCCAGGATCAGCGTCCACGCCATGGCTCGGCCTGAGGGAGGGGCTTCGAACGCCGAGTGTTTGTTGCAAGGCTGGGGATTGTGGCGCAGAGGCGAGGAACGTTCGTGGAAAGCTGAACGCTCTCTGGACAAAGAGGACTCAGGATTGGAGGTGGGGCGCAGATCTGACCGCTCAGGGTCCAGATGAAGAGGCTCCCAGCAGCCCCTCTCCCTCCTCCCTATGGAGGGGGCGGAACTGGTGACCCATTCATGACAATGGTTAATGGCTGTGGGATTGGGCAGGAGTCTGAGCCTTATATTTAAGTGCCTACTCTAACCCCATTGATACCCCATCATCTTCTAATTCATTTACCGTCCTTCGGCCTCTAACAGGAGTCCTGGATCCTCTGCTCACTAACAGCTTCCACATCCAGTCAAGGCCCAGATTCTCTCTCAGCATTCCTGGTCGTTAGCATGCTCTCCCGGTTGCTAGCTAGTCTAAACCCTCATCTCAGGACTGAGCAAATTCCCGGTTCCCCCATCCACACACCTAACGTCATTTCCCAAGGTGGCTTTACTGTGGATTGTCTCACAGTCCAGCAGTTTGGCCTCCAAAGTGGATCCTGCTGTCTCATCCCTTCTAAGAGCCACATACAAGCACAGTCAACACACACATATCCCGGGCCCCCTACCACACCTGACACACTGCTGCTAGATCTTTTTACTGCCCTGCCCATGAGACTGAGGTCTCCACATTGGCCTAACAGTGACCAAGTACCTAAGTGTTCAGGAAAGGCCTGTTGACTCCATGTTCGAACTCTTGCGAACCAATCCCCTGTCCTACACACCTGCAAGGTGAGGCTTCATTGTGGTGTACCAGCCCTTAAGGGCAGCTTACAGTCTTCCCTGACTCCTCCAACCTCAGATGTCTACATTCCTGCCTCCATTTTATGCTCTTGTGACAAATATGGACGGTGCCAATAGCACCCTCTCCAGCCTCCACGTTTGGCTGGCCTCCTACCTGGGAAGGTTCCAGACCCGCCATCTGTGACTACTTCCCCCCTCTCCCCCCACCAACTCTGTGTGGTGTGGAGCCCTTGTGTGTGCAGTGCTACGGGCCTGAGGCTAACATGCTCCCTCACTTCCCTCCTTACTAAGAGTCAGAGTCTCTCAGTTGAACCCAGAGTTCACTGATGGGGTTACTCTGGCTAGCCATCTTACTCTGAGGGAGCACCTATTCCTGCCTTCCAAAGGGCTGGAATTAGAGGTGAGCTGTCACACCAAGCCAGCTTTACATGGGTGCTGGGGATCTGAACCCTGGTCTTCACATTTGCATGGTGCTGTACCTGCTGAACCATTTCCCCAGCTCTCTTGGGCATTCTTGAGAGAAGCCGTGTGTCCTTCAGTGTTGTCCTCCGATGAGTGCAGAGATTCTAGGCTCTACTCAAGTCCTCAGTGACTGGGTCACCATCAAACAACTGTACCCGCTGTGAGGAGACTCCTATGACCCTCCCCCGGCACCCCCACCTAGTCTTTATAGTTACATATGATCTGTTTGGGAGTCCATCTCCATTGTGAATTCTCAGGGGTGTCACCTTGGCAGTTTAAGGAGGTGGTTTGATTTGGCATTCCCAAACGCTAGGTATATGGTAAATTGCAGGAGGGCATATCTGGACCTCCAAAGACCAAAAGATATCGAGTGCTCTTTGAATCCTGGAAATATACACGTTTGTCTCTCCGGAGGCTGCTTCTGGCTTTCCCTCCTGGGAGCCTGTAGTGAGCCCTAAAAGGGAGCCCAGCATACTGTTCCCTTGGCCCATGGTACCTAATAGTGGGTCCCAGCCTCTCCATAGAACTTTTAGACAGAGTCCCTAATTTTTCTACTTCGGCTTCTCATGAACTGTCAGTGATGATTGGGACTGAAAGGTAGGAGGGAATGGTCAAAGAATCCCATGTGGCCTGAAACACTGGGCCTCAGATGTCTCCAAACCTTGTGCTCCACCCTGTGGAAGGCAAGTATGACCCTCAGCTTGCTCACCCAGGGCTGCTACCCTGCTCTTGGGGGCCCCTCTTCCTCTTCAGGTCCTCAAACTTTCCGGTGAAGGAACAGAAACACTCAGAGCCACAGCCAGGACACTGACATCCCCTGAGTAGCCAACATTCCCCATCTCCCACTACCCACAAGAAATCCTCCGGATACCACACGTCATAACTTTAATACTGTGTAATATTTTCTTTTAAAATACAGTCTCTTCTGAGGTAGACAGACCACAGCTGCAGGGCATCATCAGACAGGAGATAAATATGTCCATGTACAACACACGGCAAAATGAGGTAGAAACGGGTTACATCTGAGAGAGGATCCCAACCCAACATCAGCAGAGGGAGTGGAGGGCCGGCATGCCCTCCCCTACGCTCCATCCCTGGATTCTTTGGTATGCCCCCCCCCACATTGCTAGGGCTAGACCTGCCCTGCCATCCTGCCCCATGCTCATGAGGTAGGTGCTGCAGCCGGGGGCTGTCTTCTTGTGCAAAGCTTCCAAACCTGGGAAACAGAAAGAGCCCAGCAAAGGAAGTGTGGGGACCCTAGCGATTGGTCCATGAACTCCTACCCAGCCCCCTAGTGGTGCTGCTGCTGGAAGGGGTAGCTGGGTTCCCAACCCCACTTCCCTGCCCCAGTACCCCACCCCCACCCCCAGACCTGAGAGAACTCCCTCACTATGCCCCACGGAGAATCGTCTGCTGCGGCGCTCTGGGCCGCCCGCTTTCCGTCATCAAGTCCTGTACTTGGTCGCTGCCCCCAGAGAGCGGCTTCAAGAGAACAAGGATGAAGGGGACACAGCGGCTCTCCCGTTTGCACTCCTCAGCTCACACCTGCCCTCAGCACCCTGCCCCTGTCATGTCTCTCATGTCATCCTCAGCATCCGGAAAGAGAAGGGATCGAGGAGCTGTAGGGTCAAGCAGGGGGCTAAGGTGGGACAAAGATGAGGGGGTGTCCCTTCTTTGCACCAGAGATTGTGAAATGGCCTGAGGGGCCAAAGAGCTGAAGCCCTATCAAGAAAAGGAGCAGGAGGAATGTGGTTTGCAGAGAAAGGCTCTGGACCAGCGTCACAGGAAAACGCCCAGTTCCCTCCAGGTCTAGACCCAGAGCTCCGTGGGGACAAGTAGACACCCCCACACAGCGACAGAGAACCCTTTCCAGGGCAGTGTTCTGCCTCATCATAGGTGGCCGGGCTCCTAGTAGTCAATAGTGTGCCCAGCCAGACTTGTGGCTGGACCACGTTCATGCCTGAGGAAATCCTCTTAGCTCGTTATGAGCGCCTCTGACAGAACCTGCTTCCAGTCAGATGGCCTGAGAACCTTCTGCCTGGGTCACCTCTAAGGCAGGAAATGGACAAAAGCACCCCAACTCTCTGTAAGGTTCACAGACCACCCGAAGCTGGGGACTGGGACCCGCGAGGGTGGGGAGAGGGGGATGGCAAGAAAGCAGCAGGCCCTGCCCTCTGGAGCCTCTGCCCAGATCCTCACCTCTTGCTTGCAAGCTGGGCCGGGGAGGAAGCCCTTAGATACATTCTGCTTCTGTCCCAGGAACAGCAGTTTGGGGTTCAAGTCTGGTCTTACTCAGTAGCCCCACATCTCTCTGGTCTGGGAGAATCTGTTCCCCAGGGGCGGGGCTCCCCAGGGGCGGGGCTCCCCAGGGGCGGGGCTCCCCTGGGGCGGGGCTCCCCAGGGGCGGGGCTCCCCAGGGGCGGGGCTCCCC